TGTCCTGCAGGGTGCTGAGTGTCCCTGATAAAGCTTAATGCCCTGGACCTACATTGCTGGATGTAGATGTCTGACAGGGCAGGCAACTCTGTCCTAGTGATTTGCTCAGCGCTCCGTATCACCATCTGCAGGGCTCGGCGGTTCTCAAAGCTACAGCTGCCATAGCAGACAGTGATGCTCCCGGAAAACACAGATACCACAGTAACAGTGTGCCGGGTGTTTTGTGGCGCAGAGGAGATATTGAATTGCCTCCGCTGCCTCAGGTAATAGTCACTGCCTAGCTTTATGCACCAGGGTGGACATGTGGGTTGTATGTCTGGGAAAAGGGAGAAATTTAAGCCAGAGTATTGAAATCTATACTGCCAGTCAAAAGTCTGGACACACCTGCTTTTAATTAATTTGTCTCCATTTTAGCTGTTATTCACCTTATAGAAAAACCCTCCAAGGCTGTGAAGTAACACCTATCATACTTTGCAATGAGCAAGAGAAGCGTTAAACATTTAAACATTTTCTCAACTTTTAGCAGTGTTGTGTTCAAGGTCACCTTAGTCGACTTTTAGTCAAGTCCGTGAAATTGAGTGCAAGTCAAGCCTTAGTCCAACAGGGGAGTGAGTCCAATGGTGCTTTTCCACTGGCATACAGGAGCTGAACTGTACCCAACCCATAACGTGAAGAGTGTCTAGTCACAGCGCTGTTCCAGCTCGCTTCGGTTTTCCACTGCAGAGGGTGGGCTTGGTAAAGGTGCCGGGTTTGGAGAGTGACGTAAAACCGAAGAGACGTTTATTTACTGTTCACACGGTATTATTTTTTACTATGTGCTAATTCCCGCTAGCAAGTCTGTGAGAATTACCCTCTTATGTTAGCATCAAATGCTAGCAAAATCAGCATTTGCTTGCATAAATTTGCATTATGAATCCAATCCATTCAGCTGTTCTGTAGTACTTTTTTTAAATAGGTGGTTCTGAGTTATCGGGAATGCATTAATAAATTGCAATGCACAATACTACTAATAAAGAATAAAATGTAGAATATGCCACAGAATTCGACGGGATCACTGGAATCTACCTGAATTTCAGATGGTGGTGATGCAGGTCCAACAAGCTGGCATCACAGCCAGAATTGTGTTCTTGGATCCCTCCAGAGCATTGTTCCCCATTTGGAGAGCCTGGATGCATTAAGCAGTTTAGGCAGGTTAAACAGGACTGATGGACTGAACCACTGCTGAGAGAGAGAGGCTTGGACACAAGGAGAAGATTTATAAACACTTTCATAACAAATAGTAATGCATTCATCAAGCATTTTAAACAAAGCTATAAATATATATCAAAAGGCATAGCCATGTGTATTGCATTCTGAATGCTTTATGAAGCCTTCGTCTGTAATGCGCTATAGATGCACTATTATAACGCATTATAAATTTCCTATGTCATTTCCTAAATTTCCTTCAGGATTAATAAAGTTTCTATGTGTCTGTCTGTCTGTCTCTGTCTATCTATAATGGTCAGAAAAATGCATTAAGGATGCTTGTACTGCATTATAAAGGTATCCTTAATGCATTTTTCTGACCATTATAGATAGATAGATAGATAGATATGACATAAGAAATGTATAATGCATTATAACAGTGCATCTACAGTGCATTATAGATGATACCTTCATAAAGCAGTCATAATGCATAATAAACATTTTTGTTAATTTAATTTTGAAATGAATAAGTCTCTTCCTCCTCCGAAGTAAACGTAGGCATTATGCCTCGGCACAGAGCTCCTAGAATCTACTGGCTGTTTTGTCTAGATTTCAATTCCCTGGTCAACTCATGATTAAACCCTAGTAGTGTGTTGACACAAGCGCCTTAACCAAAGAGAACTATACTCTTCTTCAGGCAGAAGAAGCGCCACTTAGGGTCTTGTCTGCGCTGTAAAAAGAATTAAATGCATCACACTCCATTGCAAATATATTATGGTAGCAGTCTTGCACAATGAACCTAAAAGCACAAATCCATTCATTTAAGTTCATTACGTAATAGAATCATCTACATAAGAACATAAGAACTATACAAACGAGAGGAGGCCATTCGGCCCATCGAGCTCGCTTGGGGAGAACTTAACTAATAGCTCAGAGTT